TGCTTTTCGTGAATTCAACTAAGCGTAAGTGTGCAAATGAGCTGGTCTGAATGGCCCATTACCCCCGGACAGCCGGTAAAAAAAGACGACACAGACATTCAAAAGTGTTTTAAGTGTCGGTCCTTTACCTCCAGTGTCATGTTTTCTGACAGGTACATGAGTAAAACGTTTCAGTAAGTCGAAAACCCATTTGTTTTTATACCAATGGTTTTTATTTCTAGTAATGGCTCCACCCTAAAGACAGTTTCACAAGTGACTACCTTAGTCTTAACAAATGTAAGGTAAAACATCTATAAAGCACTGTTATGCCTCAAAACTCGATACAGAGAAATTCGATCAAACGGCCCTTAGCGATTCGATGAAACGGCGTTCGATGAAATGGCGTTCGATGAAATGTCCATTCATTCGATGAAACGGCGTTCGATGAAACGGCGTTCGATGAAATGTCCGCTACCCCGATGAAACAGTGTTCGATGAAACGGCATTCGATGAAATGTCCGGACGCAGAAAACAATCAATGAAATAGCGTTACTCGTTAGCTTGGAAAAAAGCTAACGCGTTACAGAGCTCTGTTTCAGTTTTGTAAATGTAACGAAATACCGCGGTGTCGTTACTTGCCATGACTAACGAACGTTACTTTTACGTTAGTTTGTCGTTACTTTGTGTTTCACTGTTAGTATATGACAGCTGTTAGTGTATGACTGTAGAGTCTCAACCCCAAACGTGCCTATAAGATTGTCGAACACTTCTTGAGAAACGGGAGTTTGATGCATACGGTCGATATTTCTCTGCATCTTCAAGGGTGTGTTGGGAAAGTGGGTTGTAGCTTCGGTCTTTCGTTTCTCTGAAATTACCGCGAACCCTGTCACCTTGTGCGAATAGAGGGACTGGCGGAAAAGAAAAACAGTTAGGACTGGTGCGAAGCACCGCTGTTAATTTCTAGTTATCAGTAGTGTGGAACAACGAAAGATTAACTAAATAAACTGCATCACGAATTAGTATAGAAAAAAACGGTCTAAATAAACCGCAACCTTAAACATATATCACATAGGCGTGTTTATATATAACTTCTATGATTCATTTATTTTACTTCTGAATTATACAAATAACAAAACTAGAGCGTTTTCGAAGGCTTTTTCGCTAGGTTACATTAATGAGCATCGTGAGATGTAGCTGAAAAACTGCGACTAACAAAACGATCTCGAAAGAAAGGTGCGTTATTGTGGCAGGTGGTGAGCGTTTATGAGCCCTTTAGTTTTACCCTAAGTTTGTCTTTCGTGTCCAGAAACTTTTTTTTTTTTTTTTTTTTACGCCGGTAGTGGCAAAGTAAGGGCGAAGCAAACGAAAGCCATCACAATTACGGCTACGAATGTGTCTCTTTAGAGAAATGGTATAGTAGCCTTGACACGCAACCAGGAACTGCGAGAAGGATTACGCGGGCGCAGCGTCCAGCATAATTCGGTCTTTGAATGCCAGGGAGTTGGCGGCTAACTCCGATACAAAGAAGGTGCCGTCCGTGGTGGTTACGCAGTCTCTTGTCTAATCTTGGGGAGGATGACCAGAGGATTTAGAGAGAGGCTACCTTCTGAACGGGAGTCGTTACCGAGCGAGCGAACGCACCTTTGTACCACGGCGGCAGGGATTCTAAAAGATGGTGACGTCTTTCTGGTGACCGGACGCATTTCAATCTGCGATAACCTTGCCACTTATTTTGGTTCAAAGCGTGGGAACGTCAATGCTTCTAAATTTAGAGTTTATCCCTTCTGTTTTTGATAGAAAGAGAATATATTTATTTTGAAGAGAAAGTCTTGAATAGCTGGAGTAGCTAGGGACGATTCGGCAGCATCCTTCGAGCGGCGGCAGAGTGTTGCTTTCTGAGCGGATGTCTCTTTCCAGCGAGACGGCTGCTTCTTCAAGGCATGGCGACTGTAAGGATCAGAGGGTATGTTTTCCTTAATTAGTATTGTTTTGTCTTCCACCGCTTGCCAGCATTGCCGAGAGGGTCACCTCTTCGAGGGGAGGGGGTGCTGGCGGTGCGCGGGAGCGAGCAAATGGCCCCTTCGCGAGCGCGCTCGGCGCCGCCGCGCGGAAGGAATGTGTCCCCTTGGGGGACGTAGGCGGACCCCCGGAGGAGCGGGGTCTGGGGGGTTGGAGCGGGAGAGGTCCCGGAGTCGGTCGCGGACGTGTGTCGTCCGCAGGCCCTTTGTTCTTTGTTAATAAATGTATAGTTAAAAAGCATCAAATCGTCGTCGCTGCCACTGCCTCGCCATCGAAGTCACCAGCCGCGATCGGGGAGAGGATCTTCGACAGCTGACGTCTCTCCCCACCACAACAAGAACTTTACTGCGACGGTGGCCTTAGTAGCTTCTATACAAAGACTGTACCAAAGACGCTCAAGAATTCGACAAAGCGATAATCACGCGCCTTTTGGTCCCGGTTGTGGGAGCGTTGAAAGTGTCTTCCGAGGGATTTTGAAATGAAGTCGTTTATACATAGCTTTGTTGGGGTTTCTTCGCCATGTTTTGTAGTGCGCAGAATAAAAATTAGTTTTCTTTCGAACCACCGTGCTGCCATTTTTAATCAGAAGTAACGAGTAATGGGTAACGTAATTTGATAGCGGGTACCGTAAAATAATAACGACATTACTTTACTCGTTACTCATTTGGTATTTTAACGAGTACGATAGTACGTTACTAAGAAGAACTAACGCGTTAGTTCCAACACTGTGACCCAGGAAGAAAGAAAAGAAATTAATGTTGAATGCGAGCTTCCTCGAGTAACTTTTATCTGTTCAGATATTCCCTTGTAAACAACAGTCCTCACCGCCTGGGAAGTATGTAAGTGGGCGAACGAGACGCCTCTGGGTTTTGCGTCACGCCTGCATTTCAAAGGTCAGACTTACCGCTTATTCACACTGGAAGCGGATCCGCGTTCGCAATGCGGTTGCGAACGCGGTTCTAAAAAGATCCAGAAATTGCACGCACATTCGATGTCATCGAGTACACGTGCAATTGTACTGGATCTTACAACCGCGTTCGCAACCGCCTTGCGAACGCGGATCCGCTTCCAGTGTGAATGAGCGGTTACTGGTTCCCGATACCCACACGATTGATGGCTCCGCCCAGGTATTTGACTGTTTATTGATACGGAGTAGAAGGGGAAGAGCGCGACGGCTCGCGGCCATAGTGCGTTCTGCTCGCGCTCTGGTGGGCAGTCAGATTAAAAACCCACCGCTGAAAACCACCCTGTGTACGGATTCTAAAACACGATAATCATCAAATGGGAGTGGTCGTAGATGTATAATTATCTGATACAAAGTTTCGCTTGATTCCTAAACGAATAATGCCGGCGTCCAAGTATACCTTCATATCAAATTGTTAGAGAAGAGCGCGACGGCTCGCGGCCGTACACTCTTAGTCCGCTAACGCTAATGAAACAGCTACATGCCCATATAGGCGTGACATACGGTGGATTACGGCATGACAAGAGAGTGACCCTGAAAGTAGCCATGACAGTCCAGCGTTTCCACGTCATCCTAGACCACTTAGGCGTTACAACATAATTTATTGCCATGACATTAAGAGCTCCTCACATCATTGGCGTTACAAGCTGTTTGTCACGCTGATAATGTAACGCCGATAGAACGAGTAACGGCTAAATTAAGAGCACGAAAATAATAAACGTACAATTTCAAAGTTAGGGCCTTGCCAGGGGCAGCGTGCATTGGCAGTGCTACGAGCACAACAAACCGACAAAGCGCCGGTCCCGGGGCCCGAGCACGGTTGACTTCTTCCGAATGTGCAATATTTTGCCTTGTATCAATATATATTTCATTGTCTTCATATTTGTATGTTATTTGTCATCTGTGATTAATAAAACATTATTTATTAACAATTAAAAAAATTGCTATTGTGTTTTTAAGGCTTTGCTGAAACATCTCTTTCTCCTCATATGTAACTCATGCAGTAAGGCACGCCCACGGGTGTACGGCAAAGCTTATATGCCTTGCAAGTGAACTCGAGGGTGTACCTTGCGGGTGAGGACGTCAAAACAATACCTCGAAACAGAGTAACGCGCGACACAGATGCGCGAAATATCCATCCGATCCGACGTCCGATCTGGCAATACGACTGCCTGATCCGAAATATTTGGTCGCTTCAGATCTCGGATCGGCGATCCGGCGTGCGTCCAACGTGCCAGATAGTTTCGCACGGAGGACGGACTGTCGAAAGCGTCCAGCCAATGACAGCACAGCTAGCGCGCGGATGTCATGATGAGGTACTGGGTCTGGCGGGGCGAACGAGAAAACGGGACGTGCGACGGAAAGCCGGACGCGTGGATCCCGCTGACCCATTTGAAAAAGATGGCCCCGGCAAAGAATGCACGCGCTAGCGAGAACAAGCTCCTAACTTCGCTTGTGCGAGCTAAACCGTCAATCAGGAACCAGAGATCTATGAACGCGGACCTCCGCTGGAGTGCTTGGAAGTTGGATCTCCTGGGCGGAGCCGAACGGATTGTCCTGTCTCTTGCAAGGTCGGAAGCGTGTGTCTCAATTCGGAGCGGCGTTCGGACTGTCGGACCGGACGTCGGATCGGACGATTCTGCCGTCCATGTGTCTCGCCCTTAAGTGAGTGTATTTGGTGGTACAGCCATGTCTCGTTAATATGGACGCCTCCGTTCCCCAGAAAAATCGTCCATAATAACGAATCAAGGTCAAAAACACAAACATTAGGTAATAATTGTTAAAAAAAAGCATTGTTTATTTCGCAAAGAACGAGGAGATATGAGTTTGCACTGACGCTTTCGATCCCACTTTAGTGTCTAAAAAGCGCAACACTTCGGCCACTTGAAGTGCACGTTCTCCGTCCCCCTCCTGCTCAAGGTAGGCGATTGCTGTCTCCAAGCCACGGCGAGCTTCACATCGAGTAACGGTTGGTCTCTCTTCATCGTCTGTTTCTGTCGGCGCAAAGTTTTCGACAAGTTGATGGCCCTGTTGAGCGGATTCACCGACAAGCTCCATGATCTGCTCGTCGCTCATAGGCTCCCAGCTGTTAGTCTCTTCGTCTATATCCAAGAATGCCGATGCCTCTTCATCTGGGTTTTTCTCCCCGAGTTGTCGAAGAGCTTCACGAAGGGCCGCGAGCGTAAGTTCATCCATCGGATCCTCCACCTCCATAGCAGAGCTGTTAACAAGAATACCTGCGTGACGCCAGCAGTTCACAATGGTTTGAGGCCTCACCGCGTCCCACGCCCTCTTCAGCTTTTGAAGGCACCACCTCAAGTCAACAGTTTGCGGTTTGTTGTCTTCCGCGCAAGCGATGTAGTGCTGCACAAGTTCACCTCTGTAGTGTGCCTTAACCGCGCGAATAATTCCTGCGTCCAAGGGCTGTATTTTGGCAGTCATGTTCGGTGGAAAGAACTTAAAGGTAAGGTTTTCATAGTCCGCACGAACAGAATGGCATGATGCGTTATCAACCAACAAAACAGCCCTCCTCTTCTCAGCCTTCAAGAAGCGGTCGAATTTCGCCAAGAAGATTTCAAATATCTTTCCTGTCATCCATGCTTTCTTGTTGCAATTGTAAGAGCAATACATGTTCGGGTCAAATGTCTTTCCAAAACATCGTGGTCGCTCCGCTTTTGCCACGACAATGGGCTTCCACTTGTGGGCGCCGCTTGCGTTGCACAAAAATCCCACCGTGATTCTCTCTTTGCTTCGCTTGTTTCCAGCCACAGGTTCGGATGCCAGAGTCGAAGATGGGCCCAACTTGTAAAAAAAGCCAGTCTCGTCGAAGTTGTAAATATCATCTGGAGAATACTGAGCAAGAAATTCCGCAAGCTGTTTCCGAGCACTGGCAACGGCGGCTGTATCCACGCTTCCACTCTCTCCATGAATACGGTGGCTTGAAATTCCATGCCTTCTCTTAAACCTGCTGAGCCAACCCCTTGAGTAGTTCAGGTCATGAATGTCTGCATAAAGACGTGAAGATTGCAGACATTAAAATAAAACCACTGAAGAGAGAACAGTTATTTTAACGTAGATGCGTAATTGCACAAGAACGAGCAAATAGAAAAATCATTAGAAGAAACAACATTTTTGGGGAGGAATGCGTAACATTTTGAGAAAACATTTTCAAACTCACTGCTTAAAAAGATACGCTCAGAACTGACTTACCCATCGTTGTGCCGAACTCCTTCGCCTTTTCTTGCAGCATCTCGTCGCTGACGGCGGCCCCTCTGGAGCGCATTTCCGCAAACCAGATGTTGACGGCCTCCTCCAACTTCTCAAACTTTGGGGGTCGCTGCCGGCAGGAACTGGAGCTGGCTGTGGGAACGCTCATCCATTTCTTTGATTCTTTTAGAATTGCGTGGACTGTCGATTTTCCGAGATCAACGCCAAGGTTTTTTCCACTCCACTCTTTCACGTACTGAACAGACGCTGAAGGCGTTTCAATTTTGAATTTGCATATCTCCTTTTTCAGCTGAGCAGAAAGCTCTGTCCGTTTACGCTTAACACCTGTCATCGTCTCCACCTCCGAAATGACCGGAGAAGCGTCCAGCCTTGCCTCTTGCCTCTTATGCACAACGAATGTGATTCATCACGTATGCCAACCCGGAAGGAGATGGCATACGTTTAAGCTTGAAAGACAAGAAACAAAAAAAAAAAAAAAAAAGAAACGACCACCTTCAGGCGCGCAGCTCTTATCTCAAGGGCGGAGGACAATAGTGAATTCCGGGTACCAACTGTGACCTCTACGATTCACTAACCTTTTCTTCTGTCGGGTATGTGGACTCGCCTTCAAAGTAACCAGGCGGGGAACAAAAAGGCAATGGTGAATTCCGAGTAGTACACACTGGGGTCACTTATATTTTTTTTTCGTGGACACGTGTCCATATTAACGAGACAAAAATGCCTGTATTTTCCCGTTTCGTCCCCAAAATAGCCGTCCATAGTCCGGACTGCGGGTTTCTGTATTAACGGGACAGAATTGCATGGCGGGAGACCGGTCGCCGAAAATTTCGTCCATATTGCGGGGTGTCCCGATTAACGGGGTCCATATTAACGAGACATGACTGTAGTTATATGCACGAGGCGCGTAAATAGCAGTCGTCGCACGTGCACAGTCTTAGGTATACTTCGTTTCAGCTTCCGTCCGAGCGCAGCCAAAGCTACGTGTGGCCGGAGCCAATCACACGCCGGCAAGGGGTCACGCGATCTCGCCTGCACTTTTGTATCACTCTGCTGCGCGGCTGGTCGTCTGCTACAAGTTCAAAAAGTGCCTGTTCAGGTTCTGAAATTTAGTCACAGGGGATGTGAGTACGTAGGCTGACCGCTGGTGTCTGTGTCCGAGCTTTCAAACTGTTCGGCATTGCGGCACAGTTTCGAGACGTAGGTACACAATGCAAGGTGCCCGATGACCCGGCCGTTGATGTTTCCTTGTAATGTCTGGATATACCAGGGCTCGAGGCGCAGTCATTTCCACCAGCTTCTCGGCGTTCACTGTGTTCGGCAGGTAAAGGGGTGCCCTGATTTCGCAGCGTATCAGTGAATTGCAGTGGCCCGGACGCTTTTCCTGTTTACAACGCATTCGCGATACGACGCGGCTGGAGTCTTCTGCCGAATTTGAAAGTAGACATTCATCACGACCTCTCGCGCCTGACGCCCGAGCGTGCCTTTGTGAAAGGACGTTTTGAAGCGACTTGGTGAGGAAAACAGCGAAGCACATGATTTGGCCATTACGGGAACGAAATCACACAGAAAAACCGAGCGCTGCAGCCGTGTTGCCAGCGGATGTACGTATTTTCTCCAAACTACATGCATTTACATATATTAATAAAACATAAACTTCAGATAAATATTTACTTTCGTTGCAGATCGTTCTCAACAGTACACATCTGGAATACTGTGCATTGTTTACGCCACCAAACAGTTCCTAAAAAAAAATTACTTTTGCGAACTACTTTGTGGTGCGTAGGAATGCTCTTCTCGAAGTTGCGAACCGTCCCTCAGCCTTTGGCTGCGCTCGGACGGAAGCTGAAACGAAGTATAGTATTCGACGTTTATAAAATGTGTACGAAGTAAACCAAGCTGCTGGTTTGGCAAAAGGAACGGTATTGCTTAAAATTACCGAAAAGCCCTGGTTTTGCGCGCGTTGTGGTGTCTTTTATTTGCCTAACTCGAGTGATGCCGAGTCTGCAAATGTACTTTGTTCAAGCACAGGAAAAGTTTTAGAAGAACGTACGGTATGGACTACGAGCGTTGCCGGCACGTGCCAATCCATGCTCAAAGCGACGGCACGAGCTCCCGCCAGCAACGCAGTCCTCCTACGAACCTCTTTACACTCAGGGAGAGGTGCAGTCTATCGTATGTCTGCTCTCAGCTCTTGCTGCAATAAACGGGTAAACAAAATATATTTTTGCAGTGCATGCCGATGCCCCAAAATATTCAAGACTACATTGGCTTTTTTTTATGTTTTGTGTTTAGCGGAATCGGAGAAAGCTCGGAGAAAGAAAGCGATTCCAACTCTGCTCGCGTTATTATATTTGCTGATCTAGACTTCTTCACGTGCTTTACAGCTCCAATAAATGTGCACAAACGCTAGTTTCTTCACGTTAGAAAACAAAACTGTCTTTATATTTAGAAAAAAAAAAGAAAAAAAACTTTGGTCCGCCGTATGCATTAGCAAACAAGTACGACCCGGCACGCAGGCGCAGCGCCTTGTGGGCCTCGCCCAGGCATGGCGGTGGGGGGCGTAGCGCGGAAGGAGGCAAGGAGGATAGCTTTCGATGGAAAGCAGTAAAACGCAGGGAGAGGAGGAATTAAACTAAGCACGATAACAGCTCCACTCTTTAGCGACGAGTTGAAACATGAAAGTTGCTTCATATGGCTATCTGCTAGTCAGTGAACGTTCCCAGAGTCCGAAACTCCCAGGCACGAGGTGCCAAGATGGCGGCTCAATCTTTTTTTCTTTACTGTGGATACAGTTGCCTAGAGAGGGGTAGCTGGTCCACTCGGCCGTGAAAGCGGTCTTGACGAGGGGACCCGCAAGCGTGGGGAGAAACAAAAAAAAAAAAAAACACAAAAAAAACAGAGGATAGCGATACAGACAGGACAAACTTTCAACTTCAACAACATTTAATTTTCGCCTTCAAGCACAAAGCCCGCCCGCTCCGTGGTAGTGCGAGAAAGGGAAATCTTGGGGGTAGGAGAGGAGGTGGGGGGAAGTTGCCAAACGAGGAAGGGAGTGGAGGGAAGGGGGCTCGAAGACTGGATGTGCGGGAAAACGGAAAGAAAGGAAGGCCGCTTCTGCCGGTGACCTTGTCGCCTCGTCTAGTCTGTCAGCGTTCGGCTTCCATTGTGGGCCTCAGAAAGATTATCTCCTTTCTTGAGAGGGAGATGGAAGGGGTGCTTTTGGTTTTCGGGCTTGTCGCCATCTGATAGGCCTCAATTATTTCTCTCTTTGATAGAAATAATTGAGCCCCCTTCCCTCCTCTCCCTTCCTTCTTTGGCAACCTCCTCACTTCCTCCACCTCCTCTCCTTCCCCCCAAGATTTCCCTTTCCCGCACTCCCACAGAGCGGGCGGGCTTTGAGGTTGAAGGCGAAAATTAAATGTTGTTGAAGTTGAAAGTTTGTCCTTTCTGTATCGTCCCTTATGTGTCTCCGCACGCTCAAATAGTACAAGAGGATAGCGATAGCGCTGTAGTGGACTTTCTCTTAACTGTATTCAGTTTTAGTATAGCGTTGCTGGCTCTTACGTAGGCAATACGCAATAATGTAGCGTGCGCTAAACACAACTGCTCGAACCGAATTTAGTTGTGCGTTACGTTTACGAGTGAACAACCCGCATGACCTTAGTTAAATTCGCCTGAGCCGTAGAATTCCACGTGCTTATAAAGCCACCATGCTCCTCACAAAAAAAAAAATTTAAATGCTATTGTGGGAAATCATTTCATTTCAAATTAAACCAAGCCGCAGCTGCCTCGTCTAGCAAGCTTTTCTGTAGGGTACAGAGGCTACGAGTACGAGTGCGTAGCCAAATTCGATCACGGAGTTTCCGTTTATATACATGTTGTATTTTCTTTTTTTTGCTTCACCACTTCTTTTTGTAATGCTTCGGCGTTGTGAGTAAATAAATGAAATGAAATCGTCCCGTGGAAACGGCACCTTTCATCAATGCTGTCGCGGAATGAAATCCATGACCTACTGATGTCCAGTGCATAGCGACCACTTTGGCGATTCCTTAAAGTTCGTCCGTCGGCGATGAACTGCGCGAATAGGTTTAGCGTTGAGCAGATCGCAGCGTTGACGCACATCGCGAGCGGTGAACATATTCACTGTGCACTCCATCAGCTGCAGGGCGATCTGATTCGACCGCGGTAGGTCCCGGAATGAATTGCCGTGCTGAACACCACACAATTTCACGTAACCCTGTACTTCCTGAATACCCTGTCGCCCTTGCTGCGCCAGTCGAAATAACTGCCATCTTGAAACTGCTCCTCTCGTTGGGCCCGAGATCTCTCGAGAGCTTCCCGCAAAGCCCGCTAGCCCCTACGCAAGATCCCCAGCATTAGAGAGTTTTAGTAGATCGTTTTGGCTCTCCCGCTACGCTATACGCTAGAGCTACGACGCTACTGCGCATGCGCGCTGCTAGCGGAAACATTGCGGAGCTGCGGAGGCTAGCGGAGGCGCGCTATCGGGCCAAAATAGCGAGGGGCGTAGCGCGGCGTGCTAGCGTGGGTCTCGCGAGAACGAGTCTTGGCGAGAAAAGGAAGACCCAGCGAGGGACGCTGTTCAAGATGGCCGCCACGCCGCGCCTACTCGGTCTGTGCGTTCCACGATCGTGGTTCTAAGGGGTGGATTATACCTTGCTGCTGCGAGAAGTACCCGCGACAAAGCCGTTCCACGACTGCAACAGGTAGCGGTTCATGGCGGATATACTAAA